TAGACTTTAAAGAAGTTAACTTTTGAAGAGGTTAGCGTCTGAAGGTCAGAGTCTGAAGAAGTCAGCCTCTGAATACCAGACTCTAAAGAAGTCTGCTTCTGATGATTAGAACCTGAGTCAGTCAAAGTGCAAGGACCAAGGTGACTCTTTTGGGTAATTACCAACCTCTGAGCCTACTTGGTCACATGAAGACCTAAGCTATATTTTCTTCTTATAGTCAGTTGAGATGCAACTGATAATTCCTTCTACAACAAAGGAATTTCACACAAACTTTTAATGTTAGTAACCATTTGGAAAAACATCTCAACGACTCTATTCAAGCTTCTCAAATACTCTAGTATGATGGATCTTTAATAACTATTTTCCTTCTCTGTTTAATAAGCTAAATACTTTAAGAAATATACAACAATTGAAAGTGAAAGAGAAGTTACTCTGTCAAAACAAAAGCACAAGTTAAACTTATGATTTATTATCCTTGTATATCTTATAAATTCCCAAGTCTTAAAAATAGTTTATTTGCATTGTATTCTTTCTACACCTCTGATTGTATATCAAATGTATTACCCAAAACAATCATTTATCAGTTAGATAAATTGCTAGAAGTCTCTTAATAAGTGTTTGAGCATTTGATGTCTCTTATCTGTGTGTTTGGGCATATAAGTCTTTTGCTTGTATGCTCGAGCATTTAAAGTCGCTTGCTCGTGTCCTTGAGCATAAAAGTGTTTTACTTTATGTTTGAGCATTAGAAGTCTCTTACTTACGGGCTTAAGAAAAATGTAATCTTGTATGTGTCGCGGTGAAATTTGGATACCAAGCTATTGATGAGCTTGAATCTAATTCATTTGCAACCGAACTTTAATTTGTCTAAAGGAAGGGAAAAATATCGAATTACCCACAATGCAATGCAAATGCAAAAGCTAAAGAGTTTAGGTTCGGAGATTGGTTAAACTTAGGGAAGGTGCTAGCATCTTGAGTTTCTGTAGTACTCTACATGAACCTCTTGTTTTAACGTTGTTTGTTGCTAAGAGTTATCTGCTTAAGGATGAAAGACCTAGGGATTTATTTCTAAGTATACTCGACAAGATATCGCATCTTGTGCTTACATATCTTGACGGGAATGGAATCAGAGTATATGTAGTTCCTCTAAAGGGGTCGAGGAGTTCTTTGACTATGGTCAAAGTTCATACGGGGTAAAGGTAGTTGATTGATTGGGCAGGAGATTTATATCTCGACTGTCAAGATGACTCATGTCTTATTCTCTAATGTGTTTGAATAGTTGGAATTGAGTTGTTGAATGTGTTTGTCTAAGTTGTAAAGATAAAAGGTCCTCCTTATGGGGCATGGTCTAAACTTAGAAGATCAACTTGAATGAGATCAAGGATCAATGAGAAGTATGATGCAAATGAGATGAATACGCACAATTATTTAGCTTATGCGCAGATTCTTCCTTTGGACGTTTATGTAATGCGATAAAGTAAATACATATAAAGTAAAGGCACATAAATAAATACATACACAGACGCATGATAGCGCTAAGACAAGTGTGTGAAAGTGGATACGTGCGTGGGGTTGGAGCGGAGACGGAAGTGCATGATTGGATTCAGGCGAAGTTGATTAATTATGGGTGAGATTGATTTTATGAAATGTTATATTAATTTGATTGGCTTATTTAGGAATAGTTAATTATTTACAAAATTGAGGTAAATAACTTAAATAAAAAGTTATTGATTATTACAAAGACTCCTATTATTATAGCCATATATTAAGTAAAATGTTATATTAGATTAAATTAGGAATAATGGGTTTTATTATAAGATAGATTTTAATATTATAAAAGAGAGTTGTTATTATTAGATAAAAAATAAAAATAAATTCATTATTATAATTTTAGTTGCAATTTACCTAGGAAAAATTATTTTATTATTATTTAAAAAAAACAAAAATAGAAAAAAAAAGGTTGATTTAAGTATATTATAAAAGGTTTGATAGCATAAACTTAGTTATTATTATGTTTATATTTTTTTTGGAGATCTTGTTAAATAAAATAATATTGTAAAAGGTTTTTTTCTTCAATAATATATGATATATAAAAGAATTGATGAAAGATTAGATAAAAAAGGATTACTTAATAGAAAAAAGGCTAATTAAAAAATTGTTAATTAACTAGTGGTAAAAAGGATTTGAGTTATTGGTCTAAAAAAAAAGATTAATTAATTAAATTAATAAGCGACTAATTGTTTTAATTAAGAAACAGATTAAAAAGGATAATCAGTTGCTAATTAGAGGTTAAGTGGGTTAATGAGGGGATTAGGGGCTGGTGCGGATTACGTGGGTGCAGGCGCATGGTGGTTATCATGGGTGGCAATATAGACCGTGCGATATGGATTCGTTGGAGATCCAATGGCTTGTGTGTGAGGGTGCGTCATAGTGTCTGTGGGTGTGCAGGTATATGATTACAACATAAAAATAAAAAAGCTGGAACCCTCATATCACAAGGGCTATGGAGATGTTATAGTACTTTTTGAAAAACCCTCATGGAGATCTAAAACTTTCATGTTTTCATGATCTTCAGATTCCAAGTGGAACTAGGTCAAAATCTCCTCAAAGTTGGCTGAAAACATGATTTGCAAGACCAGAAACTTAGAATTTTTCTAAGTGTTTTCTCCCTCTTGTGATGATTTTGGATATAACTCCAAATCTATGCATTTTTTGCACATGGACCACTGTGAGACTTTTGTAGGAATTATCAAGAATTTTCCAACAAGCTTTGAACCACATCATTTGGATGTGTGGTTAGGGAGTTATGGTCTTCCCTATTTCAAAACCCTAATTCCCGATTTTCCCGATTACTCTCCAATACTTGATCCAGTGATCATGAAACTTCATGGATATGTGTAATATGACATTAGGAACATTTTTGATTCACACTTTGAGGTCAAATTCCTTATGGTTGGAGAGTTGACTTTTCGGTCAACCAAAACAATCGATCGATACTACCGAGTCGACTGTTAACCTTATGGGTCTTCTGAGGCTTTGAAACTTCTTGAGTGGACTTCCCTAAGCCATATTAGCTTAATGGACCATACTTCCATCATTGGAACAACTTTTAATTCAAAAGTCAAACCACAGTTGACTTTTCCTGATCAAAAACCCTAATTGGGGATCCTGAACTGCACTGTTTCTGAGCTTTGCATGACAACCTCAAATTGGACTCATGTTTGACCCAATAGAGTATATTTGATGATGGACACTTGGCATGTGGAGAATCAATCCAATACATTGACTGATTAAATCGTCGAAACTTCGATTTCCGACTGTACTGAACCCTGTTTCACCTGTAACTTAACAAAGAAAAACTTGAAGTAGGTTAAGGTTAAATAATCAAATGAAAATGATCCTAGAATGACGATGAAGATTTAAGGGGTCAAAATTTGGGGTGCAACAAATATGTATTTGTTGACTATCCTTTTCAAAATTTTGGACATATTTCCTTCTTACAATATGATTATTGGTTTTTTCCATTGAGAGTCCTCTAAACCATGCCTAGCTGTATCGACGACTTGGTCGATCCTTCATAGTTGGCATGTCGATCACCCGTCATTAATGCTTCTTTAAAGATATTTCCCATATCCTTATGAAAATACTTCATTCTTTATAACAACGTCTTTTCACTGACATTTCTTGCTGACTTTATAGTAGCTGAAAATCCAAGTGTAACATCCTTTCTATCTTTTTAATTTTCTGTATAATTTGCATGCTTAGGTTTGTATCAATTTCATAGAATAATATGTTGTTAGGATTTATTGACTTATAGCAATTTCATGATTAAAGTTTAGGTTTGTGACATATCTAGTCATTTGAATATTTTCTCTTGTGATTATTGTTGTATGAACTTTGGTTGTTAGATCGACCATTCGATTACTCAGATTCAATTTGAGTTGTTGTTAGATCGACCATACGATTAATCAAATTCAATTTGAGTTGTGTGTGAAAATTAAATTACGATAATTATTGAATTGCTTGTTTAAGCAAATCCACCTTTCTCAATTGTTATGATTATTAATAATTTGAGTTAACTGTAATATCCATTTAATCATACGTTTTATAAAACCGCCACTATCTTTTGATTATGTCTATAATCTACTTCAATGATATCAATAACTGACCTTACAACTTGTAATATGCGTATCTATTGGTAAAACATTGATTTTATAAAAGAAAATATTTTTGAAAATTATTTTAGAGGAACAATTCATTCAACCTCTTTTTAGACCATTCGGTCCCCATATCCTCCACCAACAGATTATGGGTAGAAGCTGAAAGTTCGCTTTGAGATGTCAATGAAAAAAGACAATATAAAAAAATCCAACACTAGCAATCAGAAGTAAGAAAAAAGAGAACGCAACAATCCGAGAAAAACAAATGCATGAGATAACAAACATCTAATTCAGAAAACTCACAAATTACAAAAATAAAATACGGTGATCAAATCAGGAGATAAAGAACACAAGTGGAGAGGAAATGACAAGAAAAAAAAGTAAGTCATAAAAAAATTATTGAGTCGTGAATTAATTAAAGAAAAAAAGTTATAAATCTAAGAGATGTAAGAGATGAAAGTTTAAGGTATAAGGATGAAATCTAATTTTTTACTTCAAGGGACTAAAATGAAAAGGGTTAAAAACATCAATAACCTTTTATTATTTACAGCCTTAATCCTTAGGTCCAACCCAATCAATCAATCTATCTAACTATAAAACGCAAACCCGCCCACTATAAAACCCTAGCTAACTCATCTCTGCACTCGCCGAGGAACCCTAATTCGCATTTTCAGAGAGATTCATTTCCTCCCTCGGTACGCAACCCTAATTTCTCCATCATTCCGAATCGCAAAACCAGATCCACCGTTCGTATATGTTGCATTGCATTCGTATAGTTAACTCAAAATCGTGCTGTTTTTTAATCTTAATTTCATTGTAATTTCAATTTTTTTGGTAACAGAGATGAGTAAAGAAGCGAAGACAAATGTTCCAGAGTCTTTTCTGAAGAAACAGAAGAGAGCAGAAGAATGGGCTCTGGCTAAAACTCAAGAATTTGAAGCCGCCAAGAAGAAAAGAGCTGAGAACCGTAAGCTGATCTACAGCAGAGCTAAGCAGTATTCCCAGGAGTACGAGGAACAGGTACTTTTCATGTCACTGCAGTGTTCTTGTTTGGTTAATCTATTGTTCTGATTTATAGTTCTGACTTTTTATATATTGTATTGCCTCCTAAGTGATTGAGTTATTATTTTATAGGAAAAGGAGTTGATTAGTTTGAAGCGCGAGGCGAAGCTTAAAGGTGGATTTTATGTTGATCCAGAGGCTAAGCTCTTGTTCATTATTCGTATTCGTGGGTATGTGTTATAAGTGTTTTTTTCTTTGTTTTTGTTTATTCAGATTGGATCAGATGCTAGTTGATTATTATAACTTAATTGTTAGTTTACTACTGTTTGCAATGAGGTTATACCAAGCTGTTTCTAAGACAATTTTAATGTGAATGTCTTTTTTAATTAATCAATGAAAAGCTATTTTATGTTCTTTACTGGGCAAGCCGTGCTCCATCAACTCAGTTTATCCAAATTGTCTCCTTAGTTGTTTTTGGTGTTCTGATTGTCTTGGCTCTTAACTTCAATTTTTCAGTATTAATGCCATGGACCCAAAAACAAGGAAGATCTTGCAACTATTTCGTTTGCGTCAGGTATTACTTGTTTTCATTGGATACCGATACAGCCCCGTTTTATGTTGTTTTTCTATGTAGAGGTTTCCTGGTTGTGTTTTTATCTAGTGTTGTAATATGATTGTAATACATAGGATGTACTTTGGCGGAGTTTATGAAGTATTGGATGGCATTTTGAAACAACTGTGTACTGGAATATTTGTTGGCATTTAAGTAGTTTGGTGATTCTTATGTCTTTGCTAAACAGGTTTTTAATGGTGTTTTCCTGAAAGTTAACAAGGCAACATTGAACATGTTGCACAGGGTTGAGCCATATGTTACTTACGGGTATGTTAATTTCTTTCCCATTGATCTTTTAAGGCAATGTTTTTTTATGTAACACTCAAGAGACTCTTAATTTTGTTTTAGGTACCCTAATTTGAAAAGTGTTAGGGAACTCATTTACAAGAGAGGTTATGGAAAGCTAGACAGGCAGAGAACTCCTCTCACTGACAACTCAATCATTGAGCAGGTGCAGTAATTTGCTTTTTGTTAACAATTGTTGCTATTTAGATTTACTCGCAACTTGTGGCTGACTTGATTGGATGATTATCAGGGACTGGGAAAGCATGGAATCATATGCATTGAAGATCTTATCCATGAGATCTTGACTGTTGGACCTCATTTCAAGGAGGCAAACAACTTCCTTTGGCCATTCAAGCTCAAGGCTCCTTTGGGTGGCTTAAAGAAGAAGAGAAACCACTATGTTGAGGGTGGTGATGCTGGAAACCGTGAGAATTACATCAATGAGCTCATCAGGAGAATGAATTAGACTGTTGTGGTGTTTAATCATTTAATAGGGGCTATCAATATATCTTTGTTGGTTTTAGATCAAGATTGTTTGTGCATCTGAAATTTTGGGAATAGCAAATTCGAGTTTTATACATTGCTTTGCAAATTTTGAATTTGGTTGTCATTATGAGACTGATAAGTTATATTTCTATTTTGACTAGCTATCTGTTCTCTGTTTTTTTTGTGATATACCTGATCTCAGTATTGCTGTATAATTTAGTTTTTAGATTTGAAGTCTTACCTCCAAGTGTGGAGTTCCCTTTGATTGTCATATGCCTGATTTCTTTTGGAAGAAGTGTCATAGAAGGGGAAATGAGTTAGAATTGATAGGTAGTATGATGTTATTTCTATTTGATTGTAGATGTGGTTGTCAGTCTCAGAACCTGATGATTCAAATTGGTTTATTGAACTGATCATCAGATTGTTGAGGAGTATGATAGAGGTTTTACTGCTTTATCATAATTGTGGTTGAGTTTGATGCTCTGATCATGCCATTGATTTTGCAGTCTCTAACTCTGCTGGCTAGTATGACAGTGGCTGAGTATATGTTTCCTAGCTAAAACAGTGGCTGAGTATCTGTTGCTGCCACTGTACAACTAAGACAGTGTCTCATGAAAATTGACAAAAATAGAAATTAATCAGAAATGTTGACATTGATAAACCAAAGAATTAGCAAACCAGTATGCATTAGGATAAGTTTTGAATTATATAATCCTGAGTGTTTGTTTGAACCAATAATGCTTGTGATATTAGTCAACAATTTGTTAGACATTGTGAAACCTTTGGGAGACCAAGCCCTAGAGGTAAAGGGAATACATATAATACATGTAAATTGCCATCCAAAGTTAGTCATTAATGCAACAGAATGGGTCTTCCTAGGTCCCAACCATTCCCCTTATAATAAGTATATTTTAATCACTTTAGTTCTTAGTCTATAATTTTTTAACATTTGGCTATACTTATTTTGGTTCTTAGTCTAGTATTTTTACCATGGCTAACATTGAGGAAAACTCAATGGCAAATGATACATAGAATAACTCTATTCTTCAATATGGACAGATATATATGAAAAGAAAACCCCGCTTGGAAAGTCACTTTATGACAACACACTCTGTAGGTGAACCTGTCCTACTTAGGAAAACAAACCTTCGTCCCAGTAGCAGGAATATAAAGACTAGTTGTGGATAACCCAATCCAACACCATAAAAGAAGTTACTCACCTATATTGATTAATTCCAAAACATACCACAACTTGATATATCAGTTGTACCAAGATGGAGTTACAAGTCTTCACTACTCGGCTAATTTTTGAGGAATTACGTTGTTGATTATATTGATGAACAACTATGAAGTAAAAATTCACTTACTAATGTAATTCACCAGTAATATTTGGAGCTTATGGGACAAACAATGTCAAGATGAATAATAAAAAATCAACGGGGGACCCCCACCTCACGTTTAATTTCTTCAAGATTTCCAAAACATAGACAATGTGTGGCACGAACCAATTGTATCTAAGAGGTACTTTGAGATACACTCATAACTATAGGTATCCTTATTATGAACATGAGGAATACCAGGGTCTGGAAGGGCCTTTGTCCAAAGGTTATAAAACTCCATATTTTGTTATATTTTCTAAGAAAGATGGAAAGTCAACTATGGTTCATATTGGATAGTGCAATGACAAAAACTAGAACGAATTTCACAAATTCTAGATGTTTTCTTTATTGTTGACATAAACAATATTTTCATGGTGTTCCTCTCTCCAACAAACTCAATACAAACATAAAAATACATGAATAGGTGTATCTAGGACAAATTATACAGGTGTCAGTCTAGTTACGACAATCAAATAGTGAACTTAAAACATGTAGATTAGTGGGTTGCGTATTTCATTTAGAGATTCATCAAAAGGATGAAAATGTTCAATTCATTTTCCCAAAGTATGCATGCCATCAATGATCATCAATGACATGTACTGTCAGCTAATCAAACAAGTTTGCTATGATATGAGATAATTAACTTCCAGAACATCACATCAAACAATTTATTCTACAGAAGAATAAAAAAAAATGTGATAGCTAAGGAAAAAAGACCACAATTGTTCTCCCCATCATCAATATGGAGGATTCCGATGACAATATGTTAATCAATTTTGCGGCAAATAAATTAGTAGTTGAAATCTTTAAGGAAAAATTTATTGTGTTAAATCTTGATATATACTAAAGAAAATAATACTAATTCATATTTGTGCTACATCTCTTTTACAACATGTGCAATATATACTATGATAAAATCCTAACAAATTCTCCTCAATTTTGTAAACTAATATTAAGTGCCAATAAATTTCACATTTAACATAAATACAAACTTTGTTAATTTTTTTTAATTTTATCAGAGGTTCTATAGATAAAAACAAAAATAGTAATAACAAAGTTACAGATTAAAATAGAAAATAATTATTTCAGAGATGATATTATTTATTAAAAATAAAATTGCTGAAAAATTTACAAGTTTGTTAAATATCTTATATCTATGAACACAAATTCATAATTTAAATGCTAGTTTTTTAGAATATTCTTTGGTACCCTGTAGGCTAAGTACTTACACAATTAAATTTCATGTTATGATTTCTTAAAATTTTTTTGTTTATTTGTTTTTCTTTACTACATTATAATTTACATATTTGTACTCTTAAATTTAACCACTAACCTCCCTAAGAACATCCACATCCAAACTCATTTGAGTTCTTTGGACGAACCCCACCAAATTTTATATTATTTCATCCTTCCCAATTATTTAAATAACTCATTTATATTTTTTAAATATCCATACTGAACTAAATATCCATCATTTTCTTTGAAATTTATGAAGAATCGGTAAAATGGTACCAATATTCATGCTCTTGGATTGTAATAAGAGTTGTTCACAGTGGGAAGGTGGCACCACAGTGCTAGACAATGATTAAGATAGATGAAGACATGACTTATTTGCAATTTCTATTTTTACCCCTCGCAATCAAGCAGATTTTTTTATTTTTTTATTAGTATAGTACGCTAATGATTAGGGGTCAAAACCCGAACCTAAACCTGCGCCACTACTACAATCGAATGTTCATGCAGGTACCAATCTACAAACTAAACTGAATTAACAAGAGACAATCAAACATAGACTAAATATACCAAACAATTCTCAAATGGCCAGTCAAATCACAAAACTTCAGAACAGTGATCACAGATCTTATATCTACAATTTGAAGTAGATTATCAAAATTTAATGTAAATTACTTCACTTAGGTTTCACTATGAATAAGTTATGTATGATGTTTGATGCCAGTGAGAGGAGTTCCAACATACAAAAAAGTCACAGCTTGTACCTGGTGCATATTTTAGATTGCAGACAGTTAAGTTAACTTGGAGAGTCTCAACCAAGTCGTACATTAACAGCCTGGAAGACTGCAAAATGTAAACACACTTCTTATTCATTTTGAGCTTGGCGTTAAAGAATTTATCACTAACACATTAACTTTACTCTTTTACGCTGGAGAAAAAAATGAATACATGTTTTACACTAATCTATCAAGAGATGTTGACTCAACTTGAGCAATGTAACTTGAAACTTCATTTTCCTTAAGAAAGAGCATCAAAATGAGCTCATAATAATGGATGATGCCGAATTAACATTCATAAGTAAATATGCTGACAAGATAAATAAAGGAGAGTGAGATCTTAAATTTTTGAAAATTTTAACTTGACAAAGATGACTCTGTTGGATTGTGGGCTTCAATATCAACATGGCGGATACCAGGAACAAGATTTTGGATCTCCTTCTCTAACCTATCAACTTCACTTCCTAATGCTGTAACTACTTCCTCACCTGCCACAACTCACAACTGTAAGCAGGAATTATTTCTCAATCAGCAAGACTTAAAAGGGTCAGTTTTACAGCAGCATACCATAATTTGACATAATCTTTGTCAAGGCAGTATCGTCCCTCAGCTTTGCAGCTTCACGAAACTGTAATTAAGATGAAATTTAAAACTGAGGTAATACTAGATTACACAACTCAGAAGGATTAAACTTTAAATGGGCAGAGAAACTAGGGTAGAATGATCATGAACCTAAAGTAGTCACACAGCAAGAGCTGGCCTAGATTATTTTAAATTTGAAGTGATGAGATGCCCTAGGATAGTTTTAGTAGGCTACCAACCACATATATTCAACTGGTGCCATGCAAATAAAAACATCTGGGAATAACAATAGAGTTGTCTAAGTTTTTAGATGAACATTATAAAGAAGAGTATCAACCTGTTTGCCCCATTCTTCACGCCCAGTCCTTTCAAGATAATTTTGTACCACCACATCTCCATTAAAATCTGTTCCATTAAGACTGGTCACATTAAAAATTTGAACTGTTCATGGAATTTGAATTAATTATATACAACAATACTTCAACTTAGGATTTGTTTGTTTGTCCTTACAGTGATTTTAGAAGTTCCTTTTCAATAAAAAAGTTCGTGAAAAATAGATAAACTTTTTGGGAAGGGGTAATGATAAAATAAAGATTGATCATTAACGGCAATTTTCTTCTTCCTGCATCAAAACTACCTTTTCGACTAGCACTTGTTATAATAGAGAGTGAAAATGGTAAAAAGAATTGAGTAGATAGTAATGCTATTTAAGCTAAAACTTGAAAAGGATAACATGATAGAAATCATAATAACAACAGGATGTCAAAAACTTTTAAAAATATTTTAGAAGATTATAATCATTATGTGAGTTTTTCTGGACCCTTATTCAAAACAAAGGTAAACTTTAAAATTATATTCACAGCCTCCTAAGCTATAGCTAGAAGTCAAGAACAATGATGTGAAGTATAACCTATTTCTGCCTTAAATCTGAAGAATCCAGGCCCAATAACTTCACTTTTGCAATCATAGAGAGCATCTACAACCTAAAGCATAAAAGTCACCTTAGTAAAATTAATGGCAAAAAATTATGTACTAGGGAAAAAAATAAAGAAAGAATGCTTGTACCGGGTCATTTTTCAAAAAATGGAGTACTTTTTGCATATCGTGGTCGTCCATAGCTCTACCAATCAAAGCATGTCGGTTTCTCTGGATAAGAAATATGGCTACCTGCATGGTAATCCAGCACAATATTATGCAAAAGCAAATACATGGCTGGGAACATTTGCTGTCTTGTGAATCCTCTTTACCATTCCAAGTAAGTTGCCAACCAATATTGAGCCTATGGGATCATACATGGCATTTCCCGTATAGTGCACTGCCACCAATGATGCCCCAGCAATAGCAAGGCCAGTTACTGCAGCACCATCCTGCATAATTTAGAACTATCTGTAAGAACAAATACAAAGGCAGAATCTTAATCCATTACTAAAGCAGTTTACAAACTAAAAACTAAAAAGGCAAACAAAATCTCGCCGCACACCATCCTCTACAACCCCTTCCGACCAACCTCTCTGTCTCTTATGACTTTTATCTCCCTCTCTCTTCATCATCTCCCCATTTACTGTCCATCTACTCTCTCCCCTTAATAATTTTTTGCTGCTACAGAGGGTGCAACACTGTTGAGAATCCAAGCTCACCTCTGTCATTACTGCAACAGATGTAGGATCATGTCCCCGCCAAATATAGTCTCTTAATTTCATTCCCTCTGCAGCTGCGCCTTGTTTGACAGCTTGAACGGCAACAACAAGAGAGGCTCCTAACAAAAAATACTCATTAGTCATTAAAAAGTGAAAGGAATGAAACAGATAAAGGAGATTAGACTGTACCAGATTGTTAATACAGGCAATAGTACCTTCAATGACGAATGAACCACATAACACCAAAGCTGCTAATTGCATATTCTCAGGGGGCTGAAAAAGAAATTTTCAAAAGCCAATCAATAAGATGAGAGACCCTTCACAGACCGGTAACTAAAATAAGAAATATGACAAGAGCTTATGATGAAAGAATTTGAATGTTTGCATTTCAAATATTCGGTTTGGTTGATTACCTGTGCAACCCACAAGTTTTGAACTCCATGAACAACAGTAGCACCAGAACCAAGACAAAATATCCCAACAGCAGATATTAATGACCAAACAAATCTTTCCTTGGAATAACCATAACTGTGGAAATAGAAAATATTACCATTACGCCACACTGGTTAGATTTCAAATCCGTGCAAAGATCGAAGCCGTATCTCAATTCATACCATGAAATAGAAATGGATAGAATAACTTATTATTATACAAAGAGGCTTGTTAAATTTTGCACTGCTCAATTAGTGATTGAAGCACAATTTCATAAAGAAAGGGCTTAACCATCAATGTATTCATCCATTACATGTATAATAGTTAATGAATCACACCAAATGTATGCATATCTAATAATTAAAACAGCTTGACACTGAATGTGTAACAAACAATTTTTTTTTATTTTAAATTTGTGGGGGAAGGGTTGATAAAATGTAATGAAAAAAGTGTAACTCACGGATGCATAGCATCTGGTGCCCGCCTAGAGCTAGATAGACCATAAGCAAGCAGCGCCTACAAAATAAGACATGTATCATATTAGTTTCACATTTACAAAATGGTTGTGTTTGGATATTACTTGAGGAGTGGAATATAATGAAATGAGATGCTAAACTATGGAATAAATAAAATCAGCATTCCATAGGTAGGACACTTTATGATGGAATGAAGAACACCGGTTCCATCTCATAACCCCGAATTCAAGGGCCAAACAAGAGAGGCAATGAGGTATTGAACAGAATGGAATTAACTGCATTCCATGTGTTCCACTCAATCCCATTTTAAACAAATCCAAACCAAGGGTTATATATTACTAGTCTACTCCATTCCATCCATTTCCATCAATTCAAACATAACCTAAGGAACCTATTAAACAGCATCAACGAACAAAGTTACCTGGTTTGCAAAATCGGCAACTGAATGCACAACTTCAGCTAACATAACATGACTAGAGGAAGCTAACCATACTCCAAATTTGAGTGAAAAAACAAGAAAGTTACACCATAATGCAGTTTTAACAGCTCGCTGACTACAAAATAAAAAAATAAAAAAATAAAAGTTATGGAAGTAGCATTTTCTCACATCACACGTTAAGCAAGAATAAACGATAACAAAGATAATTTAACAGACATGAAACATTTTTCTATTTTCCATAGCAATTTAAATTGGTTATATAATGACATGATGCGAAATTAATCAAAAACAGAAAAATAAAAATAAAAAACAAAACCTGTGGCGATCATTGAATTCAATTATCTGAGCCTGTTTAGCTCTTGTAAAGAAACCTAAAAGAGAGAGAAGATAACAAATCACGTTAGAGAATCGATTATTGTGAAAATGAGTAGAAGAGAGAAAAACGTACTTCGATGGAAAGAGTAGAGATGACTGTGATGAAGATGTCGGCGAGAATCGAATCCAAGAAAAAGGAGGCGTCTAGAAGGAAGTAAATAGGAGGTAGTGGTGGTGGTTGCGGCGAAGGTGGTTGGAGGTGGTTGAGGCTCTGGTTTGAGAGCGACAATGGTACAAAACCAGTGTTGGTGAGAGCGAGGAAAACGAGAACGAAGAAGGTTATAGGATGTTAGCATTTATACGAATTTCGTGAAGAAAGAATGGGAAATTGATGAAGAACACGAAATTCGTGCGTATAAATTAGGGCATTTTTGATTGAATGTTGAAGATGAATGTGGAAGTAGAACTGTAGAAGTGTAGCATGAAGATTGAGATAGAAGAAAAAGTAAGTATTCTAGAATATTCTAACCCGTCCTTTAAATCATCATTCAATTTCTTGCAATACCCAAATTATGTAGGGCTCTACTATATTGGGATTGAATTAATTAATTTAACTATTTTGGTAACTTTGTGACTTTAGGCAAATTATTTATTGAGAAATATTACTAATTTAGAGAGATAGAGGGAAAGTTATCAAGTCACCCAAATTCAATCCCTACTCTATTATAATGGAGATTTCCACTTGAAATTTTATGCAGTGATATGATATCTCATGATTTTTTTTTACTTTTCAGTAAATTATTTTAATTTGACACAAACACAAACACTTGTTCGTATAAAAAGAAAAACATCTAATGCAAATCAAATATATCATAGTTATTTTAAAAAATCAAATGAACTTATCTGATAATTTATTTGATTAGTTTTCACGGTACTTTCTTAACTGATTTATACTAAAGGTATATCATCATTTAATATTTAAATAATATGATATGATATTCTATTTTAATTTAGTATTTAATGAGACAACAAAATATAATATATTAATCTTAAAACTTAGTAATATAATATCTCTCTATTGAAGATTTATTTTATTATATCTTGTGTTACTTATGTTTGTGCTTCATTATCATTTTATTTTATTTATCTTTTGAAAACTTTTTTAGATATTATTTTTCAATTGAATGTTTACTTAACATTTTTATCTATTTGAGAACGAGGTTGCTAAAGAAAATCATTTAGTAAACTAGAGAAGGTTTGTCTCAATAAAAAAAATTAGAACGTATCGATGAGTAATAGAGTCTAATAGGTCAATATTAAAAAAATGGTGGTGGAAGATGTTATTGATAAAAAAAATGTATGGTTTAAAGTTTTAGGTATAAAATATGAAATGAATTTTGGTAGATAAATTTGTCAAATGGGTCGTCTCGGCCCAGTCTGCTTCGATCCGGTGGGTCGGCTGAAATGAGTCGGTCCGATTATTTAATGGGTTATTAAAAATGAGTTTGACCCAATTCTTAAAGTTTCATGTTGTTCGATGAGTCAGTCCGACCTATACTTCACTGTTATAACTTTAACAACTCTAATGGTAGAGTCTTGAGTTGAGGGAGGAAAGCGTTTAGGTGGTGAAAGAATTTAGTGTTGTGAAAAACGCCGCACGTTGAACGAATATAACTATGAGAAATATTGAGTTTCTTGAACAAACACATGAAATTCTTTTTAGGTTTTCAAAAGAGAGAGAAGAGGCAAGAGGAAGAACATGAGATATATAGTGCTTCAACGTTCGTCCTCGCTTTGCCTATTGCACTTTTCAATGGTGTTAAAACCATTGGGACACATAATTATGATCTTCCAATATTTTGATAAGTTTGGTACAAGTATTTTGATTACAACAAACTATCACACGATAATTTCCTCTGTTGATGTAGACACTAAAACTGCTAACGAAAACAAGATCCCCAAAGATCTTGATCCAATAACCTTGTTATCCATAATAACCCACTCCAAGTATTTGTATGTGGCAACCCACTTGATCCCACCAATTTCTTGCCTGAACGATTACCATTACCTAAGTGATTATTAGACAACTCCTAACTTTGTATGCGGGTAATCTTTCTCCAACTTCACCAAAGTTGGAAAACTTCAAACTCCGCCTTATGGATAATTGATACTTGATCTTGCCAAAATCTTCCTTGGAGTATATTGAAACTTTCTTCTTGATAGATATCAATGAAGGCCAAACTGCATTCAAGAAATGATACACGCACATGTTACAAACAACAAACTTCACACAAAAATATTAGATACTCTAATGTATCACTAGTCTCCCTCAACATTTAATATAGAGATGAAGGTCCTCAACAGTGGATAAGGGGACCATAGATGTCGAAATTTTTGTTGATTTGGTTGATGAGGGACTAAACTATAACATGGATGAAGGTGAGGGACAAGTTCATGAGACTGATTTGGTTGTTGAGGGACTAGATAATGGCGGTAAGGATGATACTTTGGATATTAATTTTCATGAAGAGGATGAGAATGAGGTTAAGGTGCATAGGAATCAAAAGGGAAGAAAAAAGGGAAGGGTAAAGGTCATGGAAAAGGTAAAAGGAAAGGGAAGTGTAAAGTTAAAGTTGGAAGACCACCTAGGCAACCAAAGTAGTATGAAGGAAGTGGTGAGGCAAGTATTTTGGATGACTATATTGATGAAAAGGGAACATAGTAAACTTGAAAGGTTTGGGTGATATTGAGGATGAAAACAATGATGACTTATTTAAAGATTATTATAGTGAAGACGAAAACAGTGACGACACATTTTTAAAGGATGTATATTTGTTTTAAGGCCTGCGGGGACAGTTTTTTCAAGTGAAAATCTATAATAGGTTCAGATGGTTGCTTCTTAAAAGGGTATTATGGTGGACAAATACCTGCTGCAATTGAAAGGGATCCAAATGATCAAATGTTTCCTATTGCATTTGTTGTTGTAAGAGGTAAACTAAGGATTCATGGACATGGTTCCTAGAACTGTCGATATCTGACCTTGAAAATACAAGACTATGCAAGACATACACATTCATCAATGATCAACAAAAGGTAATTTAATCACTTTAGCCATCTCTTAACGAATTGCATGGAGTTTATTTTATGAACTAACTGTATTTTATTGCAGGGACTATTATCAACTATTGATGAATTGCTCCCTGAAGTATATCAAAGATTCTGTGTGAGGTATATTTTATCACTTTAGCCCCATATATTTTTATAGGTTTCAATATTGTCTTTTAACTATGAATTTTATGTGATTCAAGGCATTTATACAATAACTTTAGGAAGAAATGTCTAGGCATAAAGCTCAAATAACTCATGTGGAAAGTTGTTACAACCAGTTATGTGAATGCATGGGAAAAGGTCATGCTTAAAATGAAAGCTGTTAATGAGGAGACATTCAAGCATAGGATAAATATTTCGCCAAGGTTTTGGAACAATTCTAGGTTTAGGACCAATACTTTATGTGATACTCTCGTGAACAATATGTCAAAGGCATTCAACTCTGTTTTTGTCATAGCTAGGGCCAAACCAATTGTAACAATGATTGAAGAGATCAGAGTGTATCTCATGGTGAGGTGGGAATCAAACTGACAGAAGATTTCCAAATATGAAGGTAATATTCTACCAAATATCAAGAAAAGAATAACAGAGGAATCAAAAAAAGTAAACAATTGGATTGTGAAGTATTGAATCCTGACTTGCTTTTTCATTTAGAATGTGTTTTACATTTGTTGAATTTTTTATGTGTTTTACACATGCGTGCAGATGAATTTGATTATGAGGTAAGGCATATCTCATATAATGGTGAAAAGTATGATGTGAGTCTTTCCACTAAAAGTGCTCTTGTAGAAGATGAATGCTTATAGAGTTGCCATGTTGTCATGCAATAACTTGCATGAAATCTCAACAATTGGAGATTGCCACTTTTATGCCTGATTGCTACAAAAGAGAATGTTATGAGGCATGTTATGCACCTACAATATATCTAGTGAATGACGAGACATTGTGGGAGAAAACAAAATATGTTAATTTACAGCCACCACCAATCAAAAAATAACTAGGAAGGCCAAAGAATAAGAGGATTAAGGATGCATTAGAAAATATAAGGGATGAGACACAGCTAAAGCGAACTAACTTTGAAATCAAATGCAGCAGATGCCACATGATGGGGCACAACAAAGCTACTTGCAAGCTGCCTGCACCAACTCAGACCATCCAGCCTGAAGGAAACTAGTTTGCATCAACTCAGACCACCCGACATGAAGCAAGACAATCTGCACCAACTCAGACCACCCAACCTAAAACACATGCATTATGATCTACTTAGATTTTTTGTATTATTGTCATTTAACACAAACTATCTGTGTAACTTTGCCTTTTTGTATTAGTGTTTATGAACACATAATTTAGTCTTTTTGTCTTTTTGGTCTTTTATACTAGTGTCAATGAACACATAATTTGGTCTTCTTGTATCAGTGTCCATGAACACACAATTTGGTCTTCATATCCATAAACACATGTAAGGCTTATTATCATGATGCAAACAACATTTTGTTCTTTCCTTAAATTGTCTATTCATTGTGTTTACTTTAAGATTAACACCATGATGGATGTGATAAATAACATGTAACATGACAGGTGTATTTGCAGTTTGATTTGAGCATATAATCATATCATATAAATTTCAACACGGTCCCTTATATATTACATTGTTTTAGTTAAGTTCCTTATTTAATATTACAGACCACATTTTAGTCCTTCTTCTGCAATATTACAAACCACTTTATACCATACAAAACACCTTTGTTATAGAATAAATGATTATACAAAACTACTACAATATTATAGACCACATTTCATTTAACCAACAATTGAAATTACATAGTTTTATAAAATCAATTTTAAAATTGCTTTGAGCACAACTTTACAATAATACTCTTTAAATCTGTAACAGTACGAATAATACACTCTTCTTGACACCAACTATTCCTCCTTTTGTTTCTCATGACCACAGATTCAAATGACCCACAACTTTAATTGTTTGATTTTGAATAATTACTGATATTCATTGGCATCCTAGCATAAATGATAAAGACGATGGTTTTAAAGAAAGAGCTTTTGAAGAAATTTTAAAGAATGTTGAAGGAAGATGATGATTAGCAGCCCTAAAACGCGTGACAACGTTACAATAAAGAAACACGCCCTAAAACGCGTGACAACGTTACAATAAAGAAACACGCACTGCAACATTAATATAATCCCTTGTTGAGTCACTACTGAAAGTATATCCTCATTGTCATACCACATCAACCCAGTTAACATTTTTCAGCAAATTTAACAAAAGAGATTAAGTTGACAAACAAAACCATTATTAAAAGATTAAGTTGTAATATTTATTAAATAAGATTAAACCGAAATCTTAAAATAAGTTAAAAGTATTTCAGCACTATATAAGCCTATTAATTTGTATAGCTTTTAATCCTATAATCTTTCTCTATGCATCTGTGTATAGCTTTTAATTCTATAATCTTCCTTTCCCTTTTCATAAAATAAATCGTACTAGTCCAGCGATTTCAGATTTTGATCCTATCACATCCTGCATACTAATCAAATCTTACCATTATAGACCAATAAATTGTAAGACACTACAAATTTTCTCTCTTTCATGACGAGGAAAAGTTGGAAAATAGTTGAAAACTCAGCCATTTTAAAATAATAATCAAAGTAAACACTATTTGTATATCTCAAGATATTTAATGAGTATAAATCTGTCTTCTATTGAATGCACAGATAAAGGCCTCAAGTACATAAATAAATCATCATGTATGAAATGCTCAGAAAATTTGGTTCCACAAAAGATAAAGTTAAGGGCCAGAACCTATTTTAGCCAGAATTCCAAAAGGGTCAGTCATAACAAAATGGTCAAGTCACATCGAATAAACCCATTTTGTAAGATATGGAGACCGATTTCTATTTCCTATATTACTCACCATTTGTAGCAACATGAACTCATTTCTCAAACTGTTTCACAATTGCTTCCCAATGAAGGAATTCTGACATCTTACAAGCTCCATAATGGATCCTCTTTTGAATCTCGGTGAAAAGTAGTTTGCCAACAAGTAATGGTAGAGAAGAATGAATGGAAACATCTAACCCGCCCGACCTTCCTTTCTTCCACCTATTCTAGGAGGTTTTTGCATCTCGTTTGAGTTCTTAACAGGTTTCCCTTCATCCCTAGTCACAATCTTCAAAGGGTGTGCTTCTGTGTTGAATACCCATTCGTCTAATGGGATGACCGAAGTAGGTGCAAAGAGAAGATAAAGATACTTTAGAGTCTCCGCAAGAAAGAAGCTTTGCATCATGTCGTCTTTAACACCATTGTTAACCTGGGAAGTGAAAACAGCGTGTGATATAGCAGCTAAAAATAGTAAATGATTGTTCATCATTAGACAAAAAAGGTTTTTCTCTGAAGAACCAAAACAAAATAGTTATAAATGATCAAAAGATAAGGTTGCTTAATGCTCTTTCCGCTACATATCAAATGTCAATTTAGGTTTTTTTCAGACAAATTAAGAAAAGCTATAAATAAATGAAAGAGTAACAATTTTATAAAATTACCCTTATAAATTATTGAGTGTTAACTATTGTCGAAATGCACAGGGAAGTATAATTGACTTTGGCATAATGGGCATAGTGTTAGTTTGAGGATAGAATTGGAATAAAATAATTAATGTTATATTGAAACTTGAAAGCATAATACTCCCTCTGTTCCAAATTATAAGTCACTTTGTAAAAAAAATTGTCCCAAATTATAAGCGACTTTACAATTCCAATGCAACATTAATGATATTTTTCCCAATATACCCTCCAGCATTTATTACTATTTCTTCTTCCAATTTTTTAAATTTCTCTTTCATTTGTAATTAATGAAGGACGATGTTGTGAAGTTATATATAATTTCTATTTCCCATGCAACAATAATTATGTTTCTTAATTCTCGTGAAATGTCCAAAACGTCTAATAATTAGGGACGGAGGGAGTAACATTATTTGGGACATTTTTATTTGGTTGTGACACTATGGGACAGAGGTTTAAAAAACAAGAATAACACAAGCACAGACACGCAATTAAATGTGAAATCAAGGTGTACTTACATCCTTTAGTCCAACATAGCCAGACTCTATACGGGAATTCTTCTCGAAAGCTTGAAATATATTCCAACCCCATTCTTGATATGTCTTGTTGCCAGTTAGGCGCCAAAGGTAAAAGAGTGATTCAACTGTCTCTGGCCTCAGGATGTTCCATGATGTACCGACACTCATGTCCTTAAATTCAGAAGTGAATTTCAGATCACACAATTCTCAAATTGCATATCTTAAATATACTAGTAACTAACCTCCCCAGAATGAAAGAAATAGTTCTCTCCAGCCAATTTTGTTGGAGTTGATTGGTAGAAGTTATAACATGTCCAAGCAAGCTGCAAATAAAGTACCGTGACTCCGTGAGTGCAATTTCATAAAGATGGTTAAACTTAAGTTGATGTGAAAAACATATAGAATATGTCTGGACTGACTTAATTGAGCTTATCCACCATCATTAACACTCGTGAGACGGTTTGGACGAGCTTATGGAATATATTTATAAGTTATTTTTAGCTTATTTCCATAAGCTCTCCAGAATAGCTTATACGAAGACATATGGACTTTATGTTCTCTTTTGTTGATGAAATAGCTTATGCATAAACATTACTATATAATTAACCTTTATGCTATAAGCGCTTAATTAAGTTGTTTATCCAAACACGGCCTTAATGTATTGATAGGTCAAGACTAAAACAAGTTAGCCAACATAACAAGCATAATAGGCTTTTTAAATGGCTATTAAAATTTGAAACATACCTCTTCTGCAAGTGACATAAACTTCTGAGAATCCTCAGGGCCATAACCAGATGATCCCAGAGCAACCATCCCTGGAGCAAAGCATGCTAGTTCATCCATCTGCAAGTATTCGGGTGAATGAAGAATTATACTCCCATTCAATGTATCAATAGTAAATGGTAAATGCGGAAGTACCAGTCTTGCAATGCAATATCATACTTTGTCAGAGAGAGATCCTCCATTCTTCTCACATATATAAGTAAAAGAAGATGGTGTTGACTTCCGAACCAAACTTAACAGACCCTTCATTGATTTCTCCCACATATCTCTGTATATTTCAAAAGGAATGGGGGAAAGTCAGTTGAAGAACAATTCAAACTTTGAATTCATCATCTTCCTATTCTACATTTATTTGAAAAAAATAAATGAAATTGTCTAAAACCATGACAATTTAAATACTAACTACATAATTCTACATACATAATTATTTCATTGATCCATGGAAGTAAAACCCATTTTAGTTATCATTCTAATTACAATTGGATTTCAATGAATTCATGCATTAACAATTCAGCTCAAAAGGTACAAAATGTGAATAGTAGGTGTGTTATTCTCACCTATAAAGTTTTACAGCTGAAGTTTTATTCCCCTGCACCCAAACTTTAAGCAAGTATTCATAAAAACTGCAACCGGTGCCATTCACAAGTTAGACCAAATTAACACAGAATAAAATGATTAGAAGTTAACAATGTCCAAATAGTACCAATAAATGCAGAACTTTGTTATGCTTTTATCATATGAAAAGATAGTCATTAAATTGTGTTAATACCTGTCACCCATGGCGCCAAATGTGATGGGAGAGTAACTTGTTGTTCCACTATTGGGATTAATATAGATAGGAAGTAATCCATCATCAGGAAATGTTTTATTAAGCACTGTTATTACATTCTCCACCTGAAATAGCACGAAGCAAACAAATCGGCGCATTGCTAGAGAATTAGCCTCCACATGTAATATACAATTTAACTGGCCCTTATCTATTTGCTTAAATATACTAAGCTTTAAGAAAGAAAATGGTAACTCCTTCCCATTCCCCTCAAAATAAACAGAATATATGGAATTGAAGTTAGAAACCTTCTGCTGATACTTTGGATCTCCGGTCCTTTGAGATAGAGCAATGAACTCTAGCTGTTCGGTGCCAGAATCTGCCAAAATACTCGAACCCTTGGAAAAAATGAAGACAAAGGAATCAGAAACTTTAACAAAGTAGCTCAACTATCCGGAACAAATACAGTCAGGGTAAGGAATATAAAAGTGAAAATCAGTTAATTTAATCAAAACTTCTTCAGTAGTAGTAGTACTAACATAGAGTCTTTGAACTAAAATAGGCATGTGCATGATGTTTAAAAAATTTACTAGCCAAAATCCATGCCTAAAATACAAACATGGAGATGAGTACTAATTTTTCTCCTGATAAAATAAGAAAACAGCAGTTGAATTATTCAATACTCAATGAGAAAAGTCCTCAGTTGTTTTTCATGACTCTGAAAGAAAACAAAAAAGACCGAGCAAAAGATAATTTAGAAAACACAAAAAAGGACTTCTTGCGGGTGGCATATAAACATAATCTTTTGTTTTGTTTTTTACTCGACTATAGAAGAAGCTCATATATAAAAGCCTTCTTTTAAAAACTCATCCAAACAAGCCACAAAATAGCAGATCAGTGTCATTAAGCTAGTACAACATTTTATATGAAAGACAACGTGAGGCTTGAAAGATGACTCGCAACCACAATATCCAAGCTTAAAAGTTAAGATCAAGGGGTAAACCCATAAAAGCCACATCTCTATCGATAAAGCAAGGTGAAAACAACGACGTGTAGTCAACATCAAGTCCTATAGACCATGAAAGCAATATCCTCAATCTTTTTTTAGTTTAGTAAGATTGACATGCATGTGTAGAAACTTACCCCAGTCCATCCAGGATTGTGTGCACGTCCATGTGACAGGTTGATGATGTTATAAGGAATTCCTGAAGGTGTGTTCCATGCAGGCAGTAATCTATCTGCAATGTCTCTAGCTTTGTCAAGGAAAATTTTGTCCCCTGAGAGATCATATGTACTAAGAAGGCCACCCACTACTCTGGATTGTGGTGAAAATAAACCAACAAAAAGAGAGAGAAATTAGTTGTCAACACATAAGCTTTTTATAATTTTTGAAATGGAATCGACTTTAACTACAATGTAAACCTTATAAAGTAACCTTATGGTTGTCTCAAAAACACTTGCATCATAATCCTTGTTAAAATCCAGAGAGTTTGCGACCCATCTGTAAGGAATGTCTTACTATAAGAAGAGATGTAATAAAGCATAACCAAGATTATCACAATTGAACATTAGATAGACGGTTATGTCAAGTAACTGAAACAAATTTTTTACGTATACATTATGACAATTTGCAGCAATGAAGAGTTAAGTAGGATGGTAAATACATGTATCAGAATCTAATCTTACCAGTTAAACCCTATAAGCATGAAATGTTCCTCTAGCTGAACAATAAAATATAAAGAGAAAGAAAAATCGAAAACAAAATAAAATGAAATTTCTACTGTGTGCAAGAATCTTTGCCAAATACTAGTATAACATCAGAAACAACCCGAATACTTTTGATTCCAACTCAATATATAGGTGTGATGGAAGGAAAAAGTAATAACGATCATGTCTTCAGGACAGGTTAAGGGTAAAAGGTTAAACTCACTCTCGGGCTTTTTGAAACTGTTCATCAAGACCCATAATGTATAGTGTATCAAGAGAATCAATTAAAGTTGCTCCAAGACCTCCAAAGCTATTGACACCACTCTTTGACTGTGGCTGGTAGAAACAACAATTAAAACAATTAAGCAAAATGTAAATTTAAAGAGCAGTGTTTGGTTGGTTTACTAAAAACAAACCAATGTATATCATGTACCGTTCAAGAACAATACAATTGGTACTGGAAGAAAACATATAACATAAGTTACACCAAATAACCACATCACTCCATTAGATCATGATGCAACAAAACAAAAAAGTAAAAGGCTGAGTGAGTGTTCGTAATAGAGATTTACCATAAGTTCATCTTGGCCCCACGCATATTTTTCATAAGAACTCCATGCATGAAGCATTGCTTCTTTTACTTTTTCCCTTCTCTCGATATCAATGGGATCATCCAGGACCTCTTTAGTGGACTTGTTAGTTGCTCCCTCGGAGTCACCCCTCCTGACAGCACCACCGTGCACTTTATTTAACTCTTCCAACTGAAACAATTCCAAATGCTTAGCCCCCAAAGAGAAAATTAATAAAAAAATAGTTTCAATAATTTAAATAAGAACTCTGCTGTAACATAGCCACAAGGAAAGGATTCACTAGCTAGTGAAAAAAAAAAACAAGATTTAGCTTTGTGCAAGATTTATTGGGGAACGACAACTCACGGTGGAGGATGCCGATCAGTTCAAAGTAGGAGTCGTGTTGGGTGTGCCAAATGAATACAAATTATCTCAATCCTTCTTTTCATTGTTATTTATTGGCAAAATGAAATGAAATGAAATGCTTTGAAGGAACTAAAAGCAAAACACATGTAGCAGAAGAAACACCATATGCAAAAGTTTAACCATGTATGATATTTTCTTACCAAATTTTGCAAGTCGGACATTTCTTTACGCAGCTCAGAAATTTCAACCTGTATTTATTGAACAGAAAAGTTATGTACTGCGTTAAAATTAACCAAGTTATTCAAGTGCTAAAAAAGTCCAAAAAATAATTTCATCCTCCGTCTAAATAGAAGGTTACACTTGAAAGAAAACTAAGGCATGCACTAAAAACAGGCTCACAATACATCCTACAAAATTATTCCAAATAATCAGCATCCGTTGCAGTATTCTATAACTAATAGTACCAATTTGGTTGTTTGGCACAAGCCAAACCTGAAAACTCCACAACTACATGTAATCTTGTAGAATCAATTAAAAATGGAACAACCCCTATTAACCTATAGTCTGATTTCTACTGTCCCGTGCTCAATCTTGCACATACGAAAAACCTTCCAAAAGTATCATGTTATATTATCCTCCACAAGATGTACTTACGAAAGAGAGATACTAAATGAATCTTGCAATATGTAGCAACTATGCTTCATATTGAAGGTGTGCAGGGTGTACGACACACGTCAATTTACATGTGGTTACACTCAATTATTTCAGTTTGTCAAATCATACCGATGTTGACATGACATATCAATACCAATGTCGTGTCTGATGCACTTGTCTATGCGGTGCTTTATAGGCAATAAGTATAGCATTTTTTGAAACGGCTTCTCTAGTAAGTTACAATTAACTTTTGAAAATCAATCTTTTTCCAAAATTCTCTCGTATAACTAGTTCATAAACATCTACAAGTTTAAAAAAGTTCTTCCTGAGCATTGTTATCATAAAAATTCTATATCTAATCCTTTGTTTCATAAAATTTCACTATGATCATATGAATACATATATAAATGACATAAACAATAACAAATACAATTAGATCCACAATCAAAAGCTTGAAACAACAAAAAAGTACAAACCTGGTGTTCGCTGACCAGAGTTTGACGATCCCATACAACGAAAGAAACCGAAACAAAAACGATGAAAAGCAAAGCAAGACGCTTTGGACGCTTCAAGTAATAAGCTGGATTACAGTATCTCCATTTACTGCTACTACTCACTGATCTACTCCCTCTCGCCATTTCCCAAAAAATATCCCAAAACCAAAGATCTAAATCTTTGGAATTGGAATCAACAAAGTTGTTGTTTTGATGCTTTTTGTTGATGCAAAAGCGACAACTTTGAAAAAGGGAGAAAAATATGAAGATCTAGCTAATTTGCATTGAAATCTACGATTTTTTTGTCTGATGTTAACAGAAAAAGAGGGTTTTTATATAGATTTTTGTGTTTTTCGCAACTAGTGAATGGAATTTTGAAAATTGGGATTGATTAAGTTATAATTAAGTGGAAAAAACGGAGATAGAGAGAAGATGATACCATATGAATGGCGACACCAAAGCGATTCCAAGAATTTTGAAGGTAAAAATGGAGAAAGAGAGAAGAAGAAGACGAAGAAGACTAGACTTTGGTTTTCTACGTTTCTTCAATTTTCATCCGAGAATATTCAACCAAATTTACTTTTACTTTTTTTTTTCATTTTTCTAAATAAGAAAAGTCATAATTTTCTTGAGTTTCTTATGCTGCCTCTTGTTAACCTTTTACAAATATATAATGATAAATTTATTTAATCTATAATTATATATATAAAAAGAATATAGATGTTTGAAGTAACCTATTTTTTATTCTACGATTACTATTTCATTTAGAAACATATTTTTCATGACAAAGCATCTATTTAATTAATTTCCATATTTGATAATCACCCAAAAATTAGAAAGAAAAAGAGGAATAGATTAAAAAAATTGCATAAAACTGGAAACTTCATTTTAAATAATGGCATAAGAACAACTGTTTCTTTCTTTTGGATTTCATTTCTCTATCCGTTAATATTAATATAAATTTGTATTCAACCTATTATATTCAATTGAATTTAAAAATAGTGCACTTTCACGTTTCTTTCTTTCCAAATTCATTTCTCTCTCAATTAATATTAATTGAATTATTAATATAAATTTGTACTTGGCATATTTAATTTTTAATTTAAATGTAAGGCATTATTAGTGTAAAACAATATTACAAAAACATTCAATCAAAATCTTAAATTTTCCAAGTCAACCCTATGTTGTATTAAAATAATTTAATTAAAAAATGTTTGAAAACATAAAAAATATAAATAGAATATATTGGGCATGATTACTCCCTCAACAAAACAACGATCGTTCTTAAATTTTAATTAAAATTTTCAAATTAGTCGATGTGTATTTTGAAGGATTGGCAAATAAAAGCGCTAATGCTACAACCAGTTCATAAATAGTTAAAGCTTCCATAAAAGTCAGACTAAATAATAAAGTATTCCGTATTTTGTCCTCTGCTTCCGGTTGTCTCGCAATCCCTTCTACCGCTTGTCCTGCAGTTGTGCCTTGACCAACTTCAGGTCCAATAGAAGCAAGTCTGACGGTCAACCCAGCAACGATAACAGAAGCAACAGCAATAAGTGGATTCATGATAAGTTTCTCCTATGTCAAAATAAAATAAAGAAATAGTTAATAATATAATCAACAAAAGTGATGATTTGAAAGAAACTGTTTAGACTTTTCAATTTATAATTTGGAAAAAGTGATAATTATCCGGTAGTTTATGTTCAAACCATGAAGATTTAATAGTTAAACCAGATAATCCTAATTGTGTAAAATTGGTAGTTGTGAGTCTTTAATTTTCAATGTTTTAGATTTTGATTAAGGAATTAGTGAGAAATAAATCATTTGTGTTAATCGGTATCACATATGCTCTATAAGATAATAAGTCACATCATGGAAATGGAGATGAAATGTTCAAGTGCTTGAAATTGGAAGATTCTTCCGAATGTTTCAATTTGTTGATGATGGTGCACTTGTGCATCAAATGCCCTCCATTTAGGAACACTTATCACATGGCATATTGCTGAAATATTGTCTTTTTTCTTGTTGCTTATTTTAAGGTTATGTTTGCATTGAGGAATATAACGGAACGGAACGGAGCGGAGCGGAATTTAACAGGACGGAGTGGAATGGAGTGGAACGGAATGAAATATAGATCTCACTCTATTGTTTAGTTGTTTTATTAAAAATATCTTATTTCATACATACTCCCTGAATAAGATGAAACCAAAAATGGAAATTTGGATGGAATGTGATGGAATTGATTTTGTCATGTTCCATTCCATTTCATCCACTATTTGTAAATCCAAATAATAGAATCACATTAATTACCACTTCAATCCATTCTATTCTATCTCATACCATCAATCTAAACACACTCTAAGGGATTCAATTTCATGTAAAATAGAAAAGGTGGAAATAGGAGATTTCTTATGATTAATATTTGATAGCTCTAATAGTTGTAATTACTAAATGTAGCCTATATAATCCTTTTACATTTTTCATTTGAAAATACAAGAATTTTTTTTTTCAAATAAACTTGGTACCAAATCTAGTGTAATGGCAAATTCATTTTTATTTATTATAAAGAGTTGAATGAAATTTTTAAGTGAACTAGATCATTGTGACATGTGACAAGGTTATTATGGAATATGAAAAGGATGTTGTTGCTTGTCACAAGCTAGTTCAATGATAAAGGGTTTAAATATTCCTTGTTGATTTGGATGGTCAGTTTGAACAGATATGTGGTGTAATCTTACATAAAGATCTTATTCATGAGCTAGTAGAATGTTACACAATGAATGGAAAACTTTAAAAGTCTGAAGCTTCAGCGATGAGGAGGAGGAATAAAACAAACCAAATTGTTGTTCCTCAAAAACAGCAAGATCGAACGAGGGACAACTACTTCAAGATACCCAAAGGTCCCTCTAAGTATATCCTTAAGTGTACTCATTGTTAGCAATTTGGTCATATTATATATAGTTGTTTTAAGCTTATTGGATACCCAAAACTGTGGAATCATAATTGTGGCCAAAAAAAGAGGCATTTAAATATAAAAAAAATGCAGCTAGAGTTGTTCAAAGAAAAAACCGATATGGAAGATATTGGTGGAAAAAATGTAGCTTTCATAGCAATGGCGGTAAGATTTTAAGTTCGGCTGCATTTGTTTCTAATAATACATGGGTAATTTATTCCATACCTATCGATCATATGACATTTGATTTTAGACAAATCTCACCTCTTATACCTTTCTCACAAAGTTGTATTTCCACTGCTAATGGTTCCTCAACACCCGTAATTAATGAAGGAGCTTTATCTCTCTGCTTACTGGTGTTTTTAGTAAACAATCACGAGTTTTTATTTATTTAAGAAATTAAACTCGAAAAAATATCAAAGACAATCTGTGTAGGAAAATGCTAAGAAAAATATGTATGATTGAATCTTAAATGTTTGAATGTTGACAAACTGAACGTAAATTCTAATAAAAATAAGCTTTGGATTAAGATAATAAACAAAAAGAGTGATAAATGTCATTAAAATAAAAATGCTTCAATTGAAAAGACTTTAAAAAATAAAGGAGGGATGCAAACATACATTTCCTCTCGCAAAATGTTTATTTTTCTGACTTGGGTACTTTAATTTTGTAGAGAATAACATGAAATTTGCGACCCTGGTCTTAACACTGAGATCAACTATATACGCTAATACAATAATAACCGTCGATAAATTTTATTTCCACGGGATTTGACATGTATCCCATAATGTGGGCTTTGACTCTCTAACTTGCTTCCACGCGTTTTCAATGTTGAGATTGCCGCAAACTACCTATCATGCCGATAATTGCCTTTTAACCCTCTAATTACCTATGGTCGAAAGTTTTCGGCTGACCTCCATGCTTAGTTTGGTATACTTGTAGACTGAAAATACACTAAGTCCCCAAAATCTAAAAAGGCAGGTTGAACTCGACCCTTGTCAAAATGTTGAACCTTTTAAAGATTCTGGAAATATTTCGAAGAGAAAGTGATCCTAATCTCGTTGATTTGTTCTTAAGAATCTTACAAACCATGATTCCTTAATGTTAAATACACTACGTCTCAGATCATCTGACAAAGTGGTCGAACCATCTTTAATCGACATGGTTAATAGATTGAAGTTATGTTCGAGGTTCTTGACACTTAGTTTTTTCGAGTGTAGTTATTAACAACACTTGTTAAATTCTTCCAGCTAAAATTTGTAGTGTAACACTATCTTTAATAATTTAAACTTAAATTTTGTTTTAGTTGTCTCATATTTAGATTTTAACCTTTTCGGTTTCTCAAATTACCACTGCTTTATTTTGTATTGTTTTTTTTTTTTGACTGAATATTGTGTTTTTAAGAACATATAAATGAAGTAGGCGATTGGTTATGGCACTAACAAATTTTGAACTTAACTCGGTTGCAACAACCATTAACAAAATTTGAAAAAATAGAAAACAAGAGATTTGGCTATGGCATCGACGTTTGGGATATGCTTCCTTTAGATACCTTAGAAAATTACTCCCTATGTTATTTGCAAAATTTGATGTTTCAAGTTTCAAGTATAATGTTTGTGAACTTGCAAAGAGTCACAGTGTTTCGTTTCCTTTAACTATAAATAAAAGTTAAACTTCTTTTATGATTTTACACTCTGATGTTTGGGGTCCATCGAAAGTGGCCACCTTAGATGGACCTCGATGGTTTGTTACATTTATTCATGACTATGCTAGAATGACTTGGGTATGCTTGATGAAATCTAAAAGTGAAGTTAATTTGTTGTTTAATTTTTTTCATAAAATGATATGTACACAATACAATATCAAAGCGCGGGTTTTATGTAGTAACAATTGGGGAGAATTTGCGTATTGAAATATGTCTTTCTAGGATATGATTCCCATCAAAAGGGATACATATGTAATCATCCTCTAATAAAACGAAAGTTGTGCCTTCTAACAACATAATGATAGTCTATCACCAGGGTGATGTTTGTCATCCTGTTAAAACCCCAAATTGTCGTTATACTAACGACCGTCTTGAAAACCCAAGTCTGGAGACCATGACGGTCTCTACGTCATAGGCCTGACGCCTGTTAGCGTTTTAAGGTGTGTGGCAGTCAGTTTGTTATCTGGGTGACACTCGTTACCCTGCACCAGGAAGCAAAAATGCAAATTGGACATAGGAGTTCCCTTGAAACTCCAATTTTGGCTTCCCAATCATCCCAACACACCCAGAAAATTACACCACATATAATAACATCCTGATAACACGATAAACCACAAAATTATACAATTTATTCATCATTTTCATGAATTTCATGTTTATGCTCAAACCTTCAAAAATTCCAACAATGACATAAAATCATGTACACATAAACAAAATCATACACATACGAACTTTGTCACGAAAATCAGATAATAACACATTTGATTATCAATCTTCAGATTGTTAACAATTCATAATAGAAAGCACACAATCCCTAAATAGAGTATGAGTTTCTCTTATACCCTTTCATGCAAAATACTCATATAGAAGCACTTTATTTCCTTAACCTCGTATTTCTAGCAGAAATTTAGAATTGATTAAGGTCGGTAGTTCGAGTTTTCTCCTCTTTAAGCCCTAACCTCCTTTTTCTCCAAAATCTTCCACTCTACGTATTATTTTTGCAAAAGCTCCACTAACCACTTTTTATCTCTAAAAAACCTAATTTACTCATTCATTAATTGTACCCTGGCCCTACCCTTCCTATAATCCTCATCATTTCCCTTATTTTTCATTGGTTCTTATTTTCCACCAAAAACTCCTAATCTTATTTAATTAAATTAATTAATTAAAAATAATTATTAATTCTAATTATTTTAATCCTTCTACCACCCCGCCAATACTATTAGAACATCCGATCATACACCACATACACATACAACTCATAATATAGTTAATTAAAAGTGCACCACATACTAAATAATTAAATAAAAGCACGAATAATATGATTAAATAGATTAATCAAAATTTGGGGTGTTACAAGTTCAACCCAATACAAAAAGCTCACATTAGTTTAAGATAAGCTCGTATAAAATCTCGTTTCACCCGCTAGAGTGAGATTTGTATGATCCATGGGAAGAGTCATCTTTCACATATTTCTTAAGGTGTTCCTCCCGAACTAGTCTCTCGACTTATTTCTGTAGTTCGTAACAATCCTCAGTGTGTTGTCCCTTAATTATGTGGAACTTGAACCATCTACCTGGTTCTGGACTATCGCAAGCACCTTAGAAGCTAAAGGTGTGGGAATGTTGTACAAGTGAAAAATCTTGCGACAAATTTGTTCGCGACAAGTGTTCAGAGGCGTGAAGTTCTTTGTTGTGTTGTTTATTCTCTTGAATGTTGTATTGTCTTTGATGGTGGTGGTATAACTACTCTTGCTTTGGTGGTGTGAACTTTCAGTACTGGAAACACGTTCCATGAGTCGTCCTTTTTCGAGACTTTCACAAACATAATTCTACGTTATTTTATTTATTTATTATTATTCAAGTTTTCTTTTACAAATGATTTAGTTTTCTCTTTCATAGTGCAATGGAATAAATTAACTAAAAGAAAAACGTTATATTCTTGTGTGTGCGTGTGTGTCTGTCTGTGTGCCTGTGTGAGAGAGTGCATTTTTTACAAAAAAAAATTATTTTATATTTTCATGTGTGCAAACAATAATAATAGAGGACAAACAAGCGTGAAGTGTCATTCTGGATGCTAGCAAATATATAAAAATATATTTATTATTTTACATAAGTAATATTTGATGTAAGCATGAATTAATTGAGTTTATATTTGTGAGCATCACTATGAGAAATCACAACATCATAAAATTTTAATGTTTGTTTGATTTCCATTTTTAAATAGATGAAAACAATTTTAGAAGTGTATAAATAATTTTGACATATTTGATTCGTCAAAAGTAGGGCTGGAAATGAGTCGAGTCGAGTCGAACTCACCTCAGCTCGGCTCGACTCGTTAAGAATTGTTCGAATTCGAGTTCGAGTTCGAGTTCGACACGAACTTTTTTTTAAGCTCAAACTCGACTCGCTATAAGTTCACGAACAGTTCGGTTCGACTCGTTAGGTTCATCTCATTAGGTTCAGCTCACATGGTTCACGAACTTAAAAACTATTTTTTTAAATATATATATTTCTTAGTATATTTGACATTTTAAATAAATATATATATTTTAAATAAAATATTAAAATAAAATAAAAGTTATCATATTGATATTTAACTTTATCTTCGAAATCTACTAATTCAAAACCTACACAACTTTCAAGAGATACATTTGAGAGTCTAATTCAAAAACTACTAAATTGAAGATTAAATTTGTCTAAGATTTGAAGTAAATATTTAAACTTAATCTTAAAGACAGTATAATTATTTTCATATGTAATCGAGTTGACTCATGAACCTAACGAGTCGAACTATGTATAGTTCAAGTTCAGCTCATTTAGTTAACGAACTTAATTTTTCGCTCATACTCAACTCATTTGGTTCATGAACCTGGTTCAACGATTTAATTGTCGAGTCGAATTCCGAACTATCTTCGAGTTGGTTTGGTTCATTGCCAGCCCTAGTCAAAAGTAATATTGATTACACATAAATTTATTATTCAACTCATTTTTAATGATTACATTTATGAAAGAAAATAATAGATCACTCAATTGAAAAATTATTATATGCTACAACTATTTTTGAAGATAAGTTATCAATTTTGACCAACATTCAATTTTTCATTTGAAAAATTTGTCATAAATCAATCCTTATCAAATCCATTTTGAGCCATAGATGAGTTGAAATAAATATCTCTCACCCTTACTACTGAAATATAAACGAGTCCATTGTGCATTCTCTATTTAACTTTTTTTTTTCTTCATGTTTTTTATTTGGAGGAGTTGTGAGTTGGATATGCACTTCGTCTTTACTTGAATATTCAGTTAGATAATCTCTTAAAAGAAATGCATAATTTGGTGATGAATCTAGATATTATTTTTTCTTTGATCATGTAAAATATATGATATTCTAAAAGATACTTGTTTTTTTACGGTCAACAAATAATGTCATTTGCATATTCAAGTGACTCGAAAAGCTTTTAGTGTTATGACATATTTGAAAGACTTCAACTCAAATAATTCTTTACCCATATATAATGTAATAATAATGATGAAAAACTAATCCGTAATTGATTACTGATGCTAGATTCGGTAGAAAAGACCGATTAAATCTCAAAATTGTTATTGAAAAGAAATAAAAATTCTTTAAATGTAATTGCGATAAAAAAAATAAATTTTTTTTAATGTCAAAACTGATATCTAAACTGGTGCATCGGATATCTGTAATAAAAAAAAAGTAAATAATAATAATAATAATCAAATAAAGATGGTGTATAATGTTTTAAAAATCGGACCGGTCATCGAATCGATGAGAGTATTGAGTCACTGATTTATCGGTTGAACCACTAGATCACTGGTCGAGCCGCATGACTAAACCGAATTAAATCGGATAATTCGGTTGAATAGACATGTCATCATAACAAAATTATATAAATATAAAACCGGTTGAACGAGATAATTCAGCCTCTAGAAAAAATATAACTAGCACTTAATCTTTTGAAAATATCATATTATAAATTCTGAAGTTCATAATTTAAATTCAAATTTTAAACATAATTATCAAATACAATAAAATAATACAAAATTATAAATAAAGTCTAATTGCAACATAATATAATTGAATAATTTATAACAAGTTTAGTTTAAAACAATAATAAAAAAAATTTTAATTTTCTTTTAAATTTTTATAAATCAAAATGAAATTTTAATTAAAAATTAACAAAAGCATTAGAATTGACTGTTTACAAAACCGGTCGATTTTTTGATTTTTTCCGATCCAATCCGATTTACATTGGTTTTGACCAATTTGATAACAAAGGCGATTCAATTATTGAATCAGACCGGTTATAATTATTGAATCAGACCGGTTACTATCCCGATTTCCGGTTCAACCGGTCCGGTTCGGTTTTTACAACTATGCGTATGTTTCTCTGATCTCATGCCTTCGTTACCGACCCAATTTCCCCTTACTCCTTCTTCTTCATCTTCACTTCCTCACCTCAACGTCACATGCTTCTCCCTCGTTATTCCGATCAAGTTACAATCTTCAATCCGTTCGTTCTTATTTCCCTTTAAAATGTCTTATTTTCTATCTCCATCATTATCAAATTGAAATCTCATTCGCTTCATTCATACATGTTTTTATTTTATTTTATTGTATGGTTATTGTTTCTGATTCAAAACTACTCCGTTACCTTGACGGCTTAATTCAATAATTTAATTTCACTTAGTTTTTTCCTCTGATTATTGTCTTATCTATTGCAAATTCTAATTTCCTTGCTGCTATACTGAATCACATTGCTAATTGCTATCTCAATTCACTTTTCAATTCTATCTCTAGTTTTGTTTGTTGTAAGAAGTTCATGCTTTTCACGGTACTTTTTTGTTTTTGGATAGCCAGTGTTATAAATTATGTACTAAGAAGAGGGAATTGATTCCTTAAAATTGATTCCGATTTGAAGTGATTTGTACATAAAAAGTGATTTATGTTTGGATAACTTTATTCAAGATTAAGTTGAACCAGAAATTTCAATGTGAAAATCCGTTTACACTCCAAAGTTATAAATTATAGCTTCGAGAAAAATCAATTCTGGAGGCAGAATCAATTCTACTTTAGAAGAACCAAAGATCTCAAAATCATTCTAAAATCAATCATATACCTCTTCCAAAAGTTAAACCAAACTTGTTTTTCATTTTATGTTCTTTTCCGTTATTTATTGTTGTTAGTTTTCTTTGCCTGTTATTAATAATAATCTTTATGTCACATCTTTAGGTAATTTTGGCTCTTCCTGCACTATGGATGGTATTCATGGGGATGATTCGCGAATGCAGCCCAATGATGGACAGCATCCTATACTTATGTCATATGAACATCATGAGTTGCACCATATGAGCAATGGGAATGGGATGAATGATGATCAAAACAATGGTGGTGGCGGTGATTCTAACTGTGGTGGAAGTGAAAATGCGGAAGGTGATGTACCCTCCAACAATGGGAATCTTCATGGAAATCAAAGTTCAATAATGGATCAAGGGAATAATGATATTGGAGATCAGCTTAGTTTGTCTTTTCAAGGACAGGTTTATGTCTTTGACTCGGTGTCACCAGAAAAGGTTTATCAACTTATCTTAGCTTGTACTCTTTCTATTAACATCACATTGCCCCTCCCTAATCCTGCATGCATAATTCAGGCCATAGCCATTATCATTTTCCAATAGATCAATACAAGTATATTCAGTTTCACGACTCTTAAGTTTTAATTTTAAAAAAAGTGACTCAAGTTCCAAGGTTGTTGTGTATATGAAGATCTCTGCATGAATGTACATTTTTAAATTGTTAAAAAAGTGATTCTTGAGTTATAAATACCATGGTTATCAGTATCTTACAATTCATGCGAGTCATATCGCTAGTATGTATCTATTTGAACACGAATCCCATATTGAATTCCGATTCATTGTAATGAATAACTACCTAAGCTTAGCCTAGTTAACCACATTTTGTCAACTTTTTATAACCAACCACTTTTCTTTTGTCATTTGACATATGGCTTGAATCTTGAATTATTTCAAGGTTCATATATGATATATCAGCTTATAAATTTGTCATGATACTTTTTTCACTTAAAAATGGCATAATTTTATTGGCAATGTATCTTATGATTTATAATAAGGTCCAATTCACGATTTGGAAAAAAGATCTTGCGATTCACAATTTGAATATTGATTTGATAACCATGATAAATAATGGAATCATTTTCGAGTAGCACATTTCATGTACATTTATTGATCCTTGATTGTCTACTTTGGAATTAAAATTCCATAGTGGGTTGGGTAAGGACAGCTATAGACAATGAAAAGATGGTTTTTGTAAGCATGTTTGTTCTTCTTTTATGATTTTTGTACTCGGTCAGTTTTGTTAATGAATTGGATCAAACGGGTATGATTTTGTTCTAACCTGGTAAGTGGTAATCATCCTACTTCATAAGCACATGTATAGACTTAACTTTTCACAATCTTCAATACTTTTTGCATGGATTTTTTATATCATATATAGTATGCAACGTTTCATGCCTTTAGGTATGTGTTACAATTGATCATAAAGAAAGCTTTGATCTAAGATAATTAATCATTTGATCCATTGTTAATCAAGTTATGGACTATTCCCTACATAGGGTTTTGATTCTAGAAAATAACTTATAATAATCCTAGGTGTCATTATCAGGTTCAATCTGTACTTCTGTTACTCGGGGGCCGAGAACTACCTCCAACCTTACCTTCCATGCCAATTTCTCCTGACGAAAATAACCGGGTATTACTGCATTATTTGGTTGGAGTGTGTTTGATAGTCTTTTGGTAGTCAAATATATGGCTCATGAAGCATTTTATTAGGGATTTACTGGCACTCCGCAAAAATTCAGCGTCCCTCAAAGATTAGCCTCATTGATTAGATTTCGTGAAAAGCGAAAGGAGCGAAATTTTGACAAAAAAATTCGTTATACTGTTCGAAAAGAAGTAGCATTGAGGTATGGGGCTTACTATCATTATTTCTTACATTGAGCTTACATGGAATAATTGTTTGTGTTGAAATCATAACTTCAACGTCTTCATTTATATTTCTACATTCTTTTAGTTGCCGATACCAATTAAAGGGTGGAAAGCAAGACATAGTGGCAAGTTTCTTGATATGTCTGTAATAATATATATTTTCTTTTTGAAGAAGCCTCAGTGTTTGCTTTTGGTAAATAGTGTTCAAACTTTTTCAAAATCCATGATCCGTAGTTGTTGACAATTTCAGTTCATATATGTCGAAGATCTGGATCATTTCTCTAGACTATAAAAAGCTCAACTGATATATTACATCTAAAAAGTTCTTTACACCATAAATTATGGTATAACTCAGCAAATTTAAAGTGGGGATTTGATGGATAGTTAAGCGTCTGTTTACTTTCTAGAAACATTTTCAGTTTTCATTTTTTAAAACTTACGTTCATTTTAAACTGCTAAGAAAGAGATGAAAGACTAATGTGGTGAAAAATTGTGATAGAGAGAAAATAGAAGGCAAATTAAGAAGAATGAGTATTCTGAGACAACGAACATGGTGTTTTGGCATTTTCAATTTTTTTCTAAATGCTAGATCTGTTTTTATCTTAAAAGAAAACTGTAAAGGAAATCAGTGGATCTATATTCTCTTGTGATTATTAGTTGAAATTGAAATGAAAATGGAAACATGAAAAGTAAATGGACCCTAACATTCCAATGGAGTTCAGTCTTAACACCGTATGTAATGATCGTGTTATCTTTTAGCCCTGACTTTCTTAAAGTAGTGTAATAGTAATATTGTCGTGAATATATGATAACGCTCAAGTTTATAGGCTGAGTTGATGATGCCTACTTTTATATGGCTAAATCCACGTCCTGACCGACAGTGTTATTTTATTATATTTGCACCACTCGCTAACAAATACAAGCAACTTCTGTAGGATGCAAAGAAATAAAGGGCAGTTTACATCTTCCAAGTCCAATCATGATGAGTCTGAAACAAATTGCGGGACAAATGAAGGGTTGATGGCAGACAATAATGGATCCCAACAGCAAGACGCTGTGTAAGTTGACTGGTTCATTTGGAACAAGGAAGAAAAAACTGAATGAGCATTCTAATCTAGATATTATGGCTGACTTGATAGCTTGAAAATAAAGCCTTATTTGCAAATATTTCTACCTATACTGGAACCTCTTGTATATCCTTTGATTTGAGAAATGGTGTTTCTTTCAATTCTTATCAGTTGTAGGCACTGTGGCATCAGTGAGAAGTGCACGCCAATGATGCGACGTGGACCTGAAGGGCCCAGAACCCTCTGCAATGCTTGTGGACTTATGTGGGCAAATAAGGTAAATGTGATCATCCCTCATGCCAGTTGTCTTGTTTTTGGTTTTCCTATGTTGCTCTATAAAATTTATTATTAATGTCAGAAAAACTATCGAAAAGGTCCATGTCTGCGTTTTATTTCCGTCCATTTTATCCTTTGATATATTGATGTAATTATTTATTAAAGCAAGTGTATGCTAATTCGTCACAAAAGATGAGATACATATACGGGATTGACCACACGGGAAAGAATTATACCAGCGATTGCCAATAAAATAGTTCATTTATTACATTGTAACTTTCAGCAAAAATTTGTGGCTTCTTTTGATTTGGTTCATTTATATGTTTTCATTTTCTGAACCACAGGGAGCTCTTAGGGACCTATCAAGGACCGCAACCTTGCCAGCACACAATTCTCCATTAAACAAGAATGAGGTTGGAATTCATGCATTCATTAAATTTATTTTGATGCGTTTCTTACCAACTAAGAAACTTAGATTCACATATTAAACTTTTCTATTAACCGGATGACTTTCAGAGTCAAAATTTGGAGAACAATCAGATGGTGCTTAGAGATGCTGCTGAATCATCATGACAGACCTTTATATTTTGATTTCAATGGAGGGCAGTTCCATGAAACAAGGGGCATAGTAGAGAGTGCTTTCCCCTTGATGAGAAATTATAGGCTGTAGTTAGCACTTTTTCGACAAAAATGTTTAAATAATTTTATAATGTTATTCATCTAGTTCCTTCGCAGATTTTTATTGAGTTGCCAAACATATGACTAATGCCAGAACTTAGCTAATTCATTGAAGAAACCATAATGCATTATCTTAAAAGTTTTCATTGAAATTCATACATCATATGTGTTGGTATAGTGGTAATTTTATCATAGTTTTCCCTCTGGTTCAAATTCTGGTTGTAACATTTTTGTGAAATAAAACAATTCTTACAGACTCAAACTCACAATTAGACAATTAGTCATTTGCCTTTGGGGTGGTTAGGATGGCCATAATGACATGTTCCCCAAGAAGAACCGAAACTGCAAAAATCTTCTATGGACTCTGGTATGCAATTTATATACACTCTGCAGTGGTGCAGTGGTTGCAGAAGATCTAGATCCATGTATTGAGTACAGTATATTGCATTTTGAGAAATTCGGTCGGTCTTGTTTAAATTCAGAAGAGGATGATGCTGAAGGTTTAAGCCAACTTTAGAGTTTTTTGTTGTTGAAGGAAATGACCCAGTTCTTCGACACAGACAGACTCTAAGTTAACTTGGTGTAAACTTTGGAGGGATTATCATCCAAATTTTGTGTAGGGAACGATCAAAACCAGCAATGACAACCTCTAAGTTAACTAAAAGTTCAATTCAGACAATGGCAACACTAGAGATACTTAATATAATATAAATATACAATATCATATTATGATACAACAATCTCAAGACCTTTTGTTTAGACTCTAAAACTGCAGACTTAAGATGCAGTCTGTCCACATAAAATAAAGCCTTGAGTTAGGCACTGAGCAGAGTGAATTTGATCTTGCGTTCCTGATACAATCACCTGCCCTTCTGTAGCACCAGGTTTTGGATCATGAACAACCACATTTGCACCAGAGATCTGAGGATCAAGCCACTCCAAAAGTCAAAACACTACAAAAATACAATACTAAATGAATCGAAAATCAGATATAAACAAACCTCTCGGATTTGATTTAGGTTGCTACTGTTCTCCCCGTACACGTGCATTAAATATATATGAGGGATGGTGATCTCAACAGTTGAGCTATTTAGATTCTGTGATGGGTTTCCATTCCTGGAAATAATACACAAATCACAATAATGTATCAGGTAAAACAGTTTGATCTATGTCGAAGCACCCCTAACACGAACTTGTATAAAATATATGGTCAATTTAAAAGGGTAAAAGCCCTAAACTCACATTCCAGCTGTTACCCCTGGATTTCCTCTGTTAGGTGCCTGAAATACAAAACCTACGGGGTTATAGCATAGTTAGTATGCACTATGCACAAGGAGACAGCAAGAGTTGAAACACCCCACCCTCCAAGAAAAATGCTCAGACTATATACTATCTCTGAATGTAAAGCTGACCTGAGGATAACATGATCTTGGAGAATTAGGTCCTTCATAGCCATGATGATAGGGAACTCGGTCCATATTTGGTGGACCGCGACCCATACTATGTGAAAACACATGCTGATGATGATCAACAGGCATGGGGGGGCCAGGTGGATGGTCAATCCCGTGAGGAAGTCCAACATGAGGAGGAGGATGCCCAGAAGGCATCATGTGATTTCTTGGCCTATGCAAAGGAGGGGGCATCTCTGGGAATGGTGGCACATGTGGCAGTGCACTAAAATTTGGAGGAGTGTTCTTCATTGGGAAAATAGTTTCTCGAATTCTGCTGGTTATGTGAAACAAAGCATCTTGCACAGATTGTAGGGTCCCGATAACCTGGTGGGTTTGAACCAAAATAACAAACTCTTAGAGAATTATCTAACAAGAACTAACTAGCTGACTTTGCAAAAAATAACTAGGTTCTCTAACAACTCTAATTTTCCTTTATTATATTTCCTAACAGCATACTATCAAGTTTTATTTACATAGCATCAAAAACGCATGTATTTAATTGTGCAAATTACCTGCACAACTTCTTCGTTGTGAGAAATGAATTTAATCTGTTCCTTCGAAAAGATGCGTATACTGGCACCAGTAGCTCTTCGCATTTCTGAAATAACATGACCTCCCTTGCCCAAGAGGCACCCTACTTGTGGTGAACGCACAAGGAGCCTAGCAACAACTGCATTACTCTGCTCAAATCCAATCTCTGTGAGTCGACCATGAACGCGAATAACAGCATCTTGAGCAGGAGAATGCTTTTGCTCAGAATTCTACATAATTTTATATCATTTTTAGTTCAATTTCTTAACAAATATCATAGAAATTATATTAGATTTATAATTTTCTTCTAGTCTACTACAATTCTCCCAAAAGATGTCAACACTCGTAATGAAAGCTATCAACACAAGAAAGTTACCATAGTTAGAATAACTCAACAGCAACTCAGTAAACAATCTGAAGATGAACCCCAGCCACAAAAATCATACAAACCTTGCCTGTTTGATTATAACAAAAGATCAATCATATTTTATATTTTTTAACAAATATTTCTAGAATAGTTTAACACTGGAGAGCCAGTTATCAATAGTATCGACATCATTCAAAGCGAGGGACTGCACACATTTCTGAGACATAATATCGAAGAGCCAGAACAATGCAAGGCCTCCAAAACAAAGTTAAAGAAATTTTTGGCTAATTTACCGGTCTCTCTATGCAAAAGTGTCTTATGGACAAGTAAGGTTTAAAGTGCATATTAATAGATAACTATTTAATAACCTCTCATACCTCTAGCGCAGATATGACAACCACACGCTCATCTGTATCGGGTACAGCATCAACTATCTGTATAGATGCACCGGTTTCATTCTGTAAAGCTCGCACCATAGAACCACCTTTTCCAATAAGACTACCAACTTTGTCATGCTGACACAACATCTTAAAGACAACCTCCTCTTCAACAAACAGTCTATGAGAAGGCCCAACACTCTCAGAACCTGGAAATGATGAATAACCTCTGGAATAATGATCAGGAGGACGGGGACCCCGTTGAGGATAAGGTTCGACCTGAGCACCACCAGGCGACTTTAAAGAACCAGAACTGCCTACATTTTCCTGAAGACAACTCGTAACTGCAAGAAGGGCTTTCTTTACTGCATTATAATTTCCAGTTATCTGCATCCACCATAAAACCCCACATTAGTTTCTCATAACTCACAAAAAATAGAGTAAACAACCACTGCAATTTACAACAACTAAGCCTTATCTCACAATGCGGAATCGACCTAAATAGATCAAAGGTACCATAATGTTTTTGTCATAAAACACATTGATAGCCAATCTATTGGCCTCTAACATTCTTTTAATAATTTTGATTATATTTTTTTATAGCCTTTCTCTGTCTCACACTAACACTTTAGATCATATGTGTGTTCGGTGCCTATCATTTGTCAGTGTCTGACAGTAACATGATACAAACGCATGTGGTTACATTTGATTACTTTCTAAAATTATTATAACTTTCTATGTGTCGCTATCAATGTGGTGTATGTGTCGGTGCTTCACAGACCTTGAGGCAACTAGGTTGCCCTCCTTCTTAGTTCTTATCTACGCTCTTTGCTCTTCGCTACACCTACAAATCTCCTCCATATGTCCAAAACCACCTAAGCCAACATTTAACATTTCTCTACAATCTATGCTATTTGCTCTTCTCCACACCTACAAATCTCCTCCATATGTCTAAACTTAACATTTTTTCTACAATAGGTTCTGCACCAACATTCTATGTCTCTCATTCTATAACATCATTCTCAATACTATTTTGTCTAGTAGTATTCCTTCCACTAGCTCAACTCCACACAACATTCTCATGTATGCTATATTGAGTTTATTCTCATGTTGGTTTGTACTACCCTACCACTCTGTCCCATACATATAAATACTATATGTCTTGAATTGGTAGTAAGTAATGCTAATTCAATATATTGCTATATCTACAATTGTACATTAATTAGTATATTAGCTTAAAAAGAATAAAATCAAGATAAGAAAAATGGACCTGAATGAACTCATCTCCAGGTGGAGGAATGGGAGATTGGTCTTTAGGCAATACCCTAATCTGAGCTCCGCTTTCTTGCCTAATCTTTTCAACAATCTTACCACCTCTACCAAGCACACATCCAACCTGATAACTAGGTGCTACCAATCTACACCCCACCGGCGAATTCGGATTCGAATTCAAACTCTTATTCTCCTCATCCTTCTCCACCATTCTCTCAAAAACCCTAATCAAAGCAAGTTGCGCAGGGGATTCTTCAGGAAGTTGTTCGGCGGCGGGGGAGATGATAACAACCATGCGGTTTTCGTCGGAGGTGGCATCTCCGACGTAGTCTTCAATTAGAATCTTAACTCCGTCGGCGGAAAGTGTGAGTATGTCATCGGATTTGGAGGCGGGGCATGTAATGCGGAAAACGGTGTCGGATTGGGTTGGAGGAACATAGCGTCGCTTGCTGGTGTTTGACATCACGTCTTAGTGATTGCCAGTTGATACAGTATTTTGTACAGCTACTTACCAAAATTGTTATTGAAACGCAACCGTGACTCCGTGAGTAAATGGAGTACACGTAAATTAGTGAAAAAGAGAAAAATAAATGAATGTGTGGCGCATTAGAAAAAAAGGAAATTTTTTATCCATGGGAAAATATTAATGAAAATTTAAAATTATTTAAGATATACATTTTTATATGCATCTTTAATTACACTCGAAATGTTTAAAATTGAGTTACATTTAATATATTTTCTAAAATTTATTTTGGAGATATATTTTTGAAATAATTCAATTTACATCTCATACATCCCTCTTTGAATCACTCATTTTTATCTTAGATTGTTTTGGATATACATTTTTCGTATGCATACTAGACAAAATTCGAAGATGCATCTCTATATTCAGACCAA